CTGCAGTCCACTCTGGATGAGTACAACTTTTAAGAAAGAAAGGCTATGTGAAATTCAATGGAAATGTCAGCTCTACTCATATCATTGTGGGAAAATTCTACTACCAGCTACTTCATCACTTTAAACGAAATATGATGACCCTATATTAAAGTCTTTTAGCCTAACCTGTAACTGTCGCTTTCGTGAAGCCGGAGTAACCCCAGCCGATCCACGCTCCGTCCTCAAGCCATTTTTCGCCCCGGAGCCTGGGCCTGCATCTCCGGGGGCTAGGGCAAGCAGAGCATCCAGGTCACTTTCTGCTCGGTCAATCCAGCGCTCCAAATCACGAGCTATCTCTTGAGCACGTTTGGTGCCTTGCATCATGGCGTCTAGCTCTTGAAGGCGACGCTTCACCTCATCACTGGTGGACAGCCAATTTTGACGCACCGTTTCAACTGGGCCCGGAAAGAAAGGAAATAAAGAGACAAAATTGCAGCCTATCAACAGAAGAAACATCAATGCTCAAATAAAGTGAAAAAAGACATGACCGCTACTTCTGTATCTCGCCGAGATGTGGTACAACGAGTAAAAGTTGGTATTCAAGAGACAATAAAAATCTCGAAAACGACTTATATTGAAATTAAGTAACGTCGCTGATTGCGATGGAGAACACCTGTTTGCCTAATTGGCAATCCCACTATAGAAGCGTGAAGTCTGGCTTGCCCTGAATGTCGCATCTGCTCTGTAGCTCAAAATCTATCTTGTCAGGTGGTAAACTTCGCCATACACACTCACAACCCAGTATCTAATCTTGCAAGGGGTACTGATGAAGCGATGATTGGATAGCCGTTTGTGAAACCCAAATGGAATCTTGAGATCTACCCATCTGATTGTGGTAAAAACTGAACTATCTATACTTATAACAGCTTTAGTGACCTGGGGTGATTAAGTCCTTATTAAAGAAATAATGATAGTCATAAAGGCTACTTAAATTGAAAATAAGTAACGTCATGCTTGCCTAATAAATAATTCCTTTATAAAACTGTAAGTTGGGAGAAGCCTGATTTTCCTTGAATTTCGTATCTGACCTGACACCACCGGCTATGTATTGGAGTGGGAAACGTTGCCACGATACTTACAACCCAGTATCGAATCCCAATTGAATTGTTGATGAGACCCAAATGAGACAAAAATTGTTATAAAATCCAGCCAAAATGAGATAGCATTTTGGGATGCAAGGCTAAGTAAAGTTCAAAGGTATCCTCAGGCCTACCTACCTGAGTATGTGAAAATAACAAACTCGGTTCTAAAATCAACAAGTTATTATTAAAGAACTACCAATAGTCTCAAAACCTAGTTAAATCTAATACAAAATGTAATTTTTTCAACGAAAACGACTATATATTATTAGGGGGACCTTCATTTCGAATGAAAGTACATGATGAAGAGATTC